TAACCTACTACTTATTATATTTAATTGGAATGCTTATAAACATATTTTTCGTAGCATCTAGCAACTTTTAATAAATAATTACTGCTACTGAAAAATTATCACAGCATATGTACAGTCTATATTTAGTTTAAAATTAATAAGTATTCATAGTGTAATCAAATTCAGAGATGCTTTATTTCGTTGTGCTTTAGTTCATTTGTTTCCATTCGTTTTATGTAAAACTAGCTGTGCCCCGCGATGTTACCGGCGGTTTATTAGGGATATTTTTCCACACTAAAACGTAGTCTATGTGTTAATTCAGAGTGTCAGTTAACTCTATACCAAATTTTATTAAAATCGCTCTAGCCGTTAAGACACGAAGAAATAAAAAACATACACACTCACAAACTTTCCCCTTTATAATATTAGTGTGATGAATCCTCGAAAAATTAAAAAAAAAATGTATTTTTGCGTACTTTATCATTGTCATAAAGTATTCAGTACAATTACCCGAAATAACGTAAACACTTTATAATACGGTTGGTAACCCTACGTGACTCAGAAGGGAGTATCCGATATCTTATCATTCAAATATTCGATCAATAATACTTGTATTGTTGTTATCGAATATTAAAAATTGTTCTCGCAATTTTTGCGTGGGGGAATGTGCATACAAATGGTGTCGGATATCTGATGATATCACAATAGTGGTTCTATTACTCTATAGAAAAGTATAGGTACTTAGCGTTTTGACACAGTTCTTGTTTTTAAACTATAAAATACCACCAAAAACATTGTCACGTAAAATGTTGCCAAAACGAAAACATATGACTCGCACTGTTAAAAACTTATCTGATCATATGTAGACTTGGAAGCTCGGTCTAACTCTATACGCCCCCGTAGAACTCAAATGCAAATAGATAACAATTAGAAACGAGTAAGCAATAATGTGTTTATTTACTTCTTGTTTTAGTAACTGTGTCAAAACTCTAACTTACTCACTCAACCGCTATTTATACACAATTATTACGTTAAGTTAGTGGAATCGACTCTCTGTTCTAAAAATAGAGAATAAAAAATTATAGGTACTGTAATTACGACACCAATAGCATTATAAGTCCTTGCCAATGTATAACACATCGCTCGAATTCTTGCACACTTCTTTATAACTTTGGCCTATTTGGGAATATGCTCTGGCAGAGACGAGATTGCAGCGTATAGATGGCTACTCCACTTTTGCCTGCGTCCGTATTGTTCTATTATAAAACCTAAAGGTTTTGTAGCACTGGTGAAATGTTAACAGTATTGTGTAATATTAAATCAATAAATAAAAAAGTAAAAGGGAAGTAGTGGAATACAAATTTAAAGATGGCAAAACGCCAAAGCGAGCGCCCGCGTGTGTGAGCAGTTGGGTGTGCGGTGGTCATCGTAAAATCACTAGAAGTTTACGAGTATTTTTCTTTTCAAAATCACCGAGAACTAGTAAACTCGGATCTTTATACATTTTGTTATCTTTGACTTTCTTTATTGATTCAAGGTGACTATAATTACACAAAGTAACGCCTACCGAATATCATAGAGGTGTTGTGTTTTATTAAACACACCTTAAAAAGGTTCTAGAGATTGTGATTATTTCTGGGATTAATTTCTTTAGAATAATATCCCTTATATCTATATATACGAGATATAAAAATCAATTGCTGTTCGTTATTCTCGCTAAAACTCGAGAACGGCTGAACGGGTCTCTTGGTCTCGAAATGTTAGTGGAGGTCTACGGAAGGTTTGAAAGGTGAGAAAAATTCGAGTTCTACACTACAGCTCTATACTGAAGCGAAGCGAGGGCGGGCCACACTAGTGGCAATAAACTACAATACTAATTGTAATAAAATTTATTTTAAAATGTTTATGAGTCCACCTATTATTGGACAATTCGGTTTTTGGATTCCTCGTAGATATCCCCGATCTTCTATAAATAAATCATTTCAGTCCTCCTAATAGGAAAACAAAATTAGGCGGTAATTCACCGAGGCGATATTGCAACGTATGCAATTGATTTCCATTGTGATTCATTTGCCAGGTTCAAATTATTGCAACGCGGAAGAATCCCTAAACGAGGATCCCGCGGTTTCGCACTAAGCAGCTTAGAGGGTATTCGCAGGGTTTTTTAGCGGATAGTACGCCGTAAAGCGCCCGTAAGAGTTACCGGGTCCTCAGTGGGCAGCCACTGTGGGGGCTCGTAAGGTTTGCGGGAGCCAGGTGTGAGGTCCGTTCGGTGGTGTGCCTCTTAAAGGCGCCGTCGTCTGTAAACAGAGTTTTTGCCTGCGTCACAAAAAAAAGGTTCAAATTATTGCTTATAATAAAATCGAAGTAGTACTCGTATATATGAATAGGCACTATTAATTAATGTATCGATTTAACGTCTTTTAAATATCTTTAATTTGTAAATACTTGTTATTGTTAATAATAGATAAAGTCGTTAATTTATTACTACACTCTAACTGACCCGCGCGAACTTCGTGCCGCCTAACAATAGATCGAATGTGGTTATTTTTAAAATTTTAAGCTTAATTAAATTAATTATTTCACAACCGCAATAAAACAAAATATAGAAAAACGTTCAAAAGTCTATCAGGATAAAAGAGATAATGAAATTTCAATATCGCATTGATGTAGATACTTCAATGGCGTATCACCGAAATTTAAAACGTGATTAATTGGTTGCCAGGGCGGCAATTCGCCTAACGGAAATGCTTTGGAAAACGCTAACACTTTCGATTTTATTTTGTTATTTCTGACCGCCGAAGGTTTTCAAATACCTCACGCTCATTTTTTTTAATATTGTTATTACTAATGCAAAAGAAAAAAAAAGAGCACGAGCCATTTGACACCTCTGGCGGTTAGAAATAACAAAATGAAATCGTAAGCGATAGCGTTTTCCAAAGAATTTCCGTTAAACGAATAGCTCGCAGATACCTATTTGCCCGTTATTCTCCAAACACTGCCATCCCTTTATCTCTCAGGTTACTTGGGAAATTAGGAATGTATTTTGGAAACCAGGACCAAATGGAGTAAAATTAATGTCATGTTGTAATGAAAACTATGATATTGATCCTTAAAGGCGGATTTACATTTGGTTGTTAGTTAGTATTCGGATGCACGAAAGACATTACTCGAATTCGGGCACCCGACGCAATATTTACATTGTTTTTACTCGAACACGGACAAGAAGACGGCGACGGGTAACAAAAACCGAAAACTGTCCGAATACGGGCGTACTCGACTCCGTTCATTTATACTTAGTCATTTGTACGAATTCCATAGGCTCTTATATGCGGGCTAACTACTAAGTGTAATTGCGCCATTAGTACAGTGCTCCTCACCAAAATATCGGCAAGTATTGCAACGTGTCTTATGATCAGAGTATCTATATATATAAAACTCAAAGGTGACTGACTGACATAGTAATCTATCAACGCACAGCCCAAACCACTGGACGGATCGGGCTGAAATTTGGCATGCAGGTAGATGTTATGACGTAGGCATCCGATAAGAAAGGATTTTGATCAATTCTACCCCCAAGGGGATAAAATAGGGAATGAAAGTTTGTATGAAACTTTGTCAATTTGCATGCAGGTATAAGAAGAATCAAAGATGAATGTCATTGTGTATAATACAAGCCTGAGAACAAAATCTGTAGTCTACACTTCAGCTCTACACCGAAGCGAAGCGAGGGCGGGCCGCTAGTTTTCTATAAAATTACAATACAAGGTAATTCTTCTCAGTACATGGTCTTCTGCCGTAGTTTTAAGAACCGATGGCGTTGTTTTCGACTTTCACATGTGCTTGTAAAAGCCTAAACTGAATAAATATTTTTTGAATTGAATTGAATATCACCCTCTAGCTAGAGTGATCATATCTATTGAATAGACTATTTTCCTACATTTTCACCTTTTGATTTCTATTTTAAAATATCTTTAATGTAAGTATTCACTAATTTGCAGTACAGATTATTAGCTTTGTGCATGCGTGACGATAACTGTCCAATGTGGAAGATGGCGCAATACCAAACCTAATTAATTTATCTAAATAAATAGATTTTCTGCATAACTTATTCCCGTGATTTTTCCTATATTGTAATAGTTTTCTCAGATAAAAAATACATTTTCAGATCAGATAAAAATCGGTCAAGCCTTTCTTGAGTTATTATAAGTGTTCTAACTAACAGGAGTTCGTTTTATATAAATATATAATATTATTATAAATTATTTATATATAAATAGATTCAATCAACTTTTAATTTTATTATGTTTGTAGTTAAAAGCACTTAACTGCTGGATATTTAAACCTATAGAAATTTTTACTACAACAAATTCCAATCGCTCCAGGTTTCAGGCGCAACTTCCGCTATCCGGGCGGATTTATTCAGATTTAAACTTTTTATATGTTTCACATACATGTTGAATTTTGCTATAAAATGTTTATTACATTAATAGTATATTTTATCACATGTTTTGCATTGTGATAGCTAATGTAAGAAAACTTTTTAAATGAAAAAAAAAATAAGTTAAATGCAATCTTATGTAGTTTATGCATTATTGCATCAGTCTTATTATGTATACATATCCCAAATAAATGCTAACATTTTATGTTAGATGTTTTGATTTAGATAAGAAATAAGTAAATACGACATCAATAATATACGGCTTTATACCACGTTGTTGCAATAATATTTACATAACCCATATCAGTTGTGTCGATCAACATCGAACAGAGGTTAATCTCGAGATCACAATACTCCTGATTGGGATTCCGGGATGGTCGGGGCGAAGGGCGAGCGCCGCCGGCCGGTCGCCTGCCGAGCTAGCTTGCGCCCGCGCACTACCGCACTCGCTCCCAGCTCTCCGCGTCGCGCGCGCGTCTCTATCGGATATCCCACACTTCTAACTACCCTTAACCCGAACTACCGCTACTATGAATCGATAAAGTTTAGTGCATCGCGTATCTTCTGTGTCTGATCTGTGATGGCCGAGAAACACGCTCTCATATCCCAAGGTGTCATCATGTACAAGCAAACGGACGCTATGAAGGAGACCAAGGATATGTCCGAGAACTTAGTGAGTGGTGATTTCGAAAGACAATACAGGAACAGAGTGGTAGAGGCCGGTGGAAGGAGGAGACAGGCGTGCTGCGTTACGTTCGCGGTGACAGTCGGTGTAGTTGTTTTGGCTCTGCTGGCCCTTACGATCGTAAGGGAACTTCAAATCAAGCGCCTTTGCCAAGAGGTGGAGGAGCTGTCGGCTCATATAGTCGCCGTCGAAGTCAACGTGAACGCCCTCAACCAAAGGATTTCGGACAACAGACTTTTCAACGAGTTCAAAACTTTCGACGACGCGGTGAGTGAATTGCGACGATTATTTATTTTGACGCGTATTTGATACTGATAGCCCCTCGTGGAGACAGACTTACAACAGTAAACAGATCACTCGAGACGTGCCGAGCGTTTAGAGTTCGGTGGAGAGATTTTAATAACAATGGCGCTTGTAAGAGCCCCCGAATTACATTTTGTCCCTTGAACGCACACTATGAAAGGCTCAGGTATAAATCTCAGACCCGTTGCCAGCGATTTTAAAGAACACAAACAAATAGCTCTCTTAAAACAAGCACTTTTGTTTGGTTGATGTTACAATTGAGCATCGAAGCAAGCTCTTAGGAACGCGAATCCCAACGTGATGTGAATACGTAAATTACGCAACTAATGAGAGACTAACATTATGATGTTGTAGATAAGACAAGTGCCGCAGAAGCCCGGCCAAGGTTACTGTTTGTTATATGTATATTATAGCCAATTGACTTACATTGAACACGATTGCTTGGCATGAAAATAATCTAAATCATCATCGGAATATTGCTTTTGTTGCAACATTGTGGTCTGTTATATAACTAACCTTTTAGGTCAGTTATTTTCCTGCACAAAATTGAAGAAATGATGTTCTAGGCAAGTAATTTAATGACGAAACGTGAATAGTATTACGGCCGTTACAAAAGTACACTATCTTTAAACCTATCGTAAAGTAAATGCAATATTAAAAACATATTAAAAGAGTACGGATATTGTAGTTCTAAATAAAAAACTTTAAAACCTAATGAAAATAATGCACTTTAATGTAACCGAGCGAGCTGTTTAAACAATTACGATATTTTGGAATGCCCAGATGATAATGAAATAGCTAATTGGAGCCGCATTGTTGGCGTGCCGGGAATTGATTTAACTCCGCTCAAGGTCATAGTGTCGCGAAATTTTATGTAACATCATCTCGGTCAATCTGGTCCGACTGGTTTGTGTCGGCACAACAAACCGGTCGTGAAATGTAAACAGAAGCGGCGGTAATCAAGCGCAAGGAAGGCAATGAGACGCGCACTCATGCTTAGTGCCTAATGTGCTCATGTTTTTAGTTCCCACGTTTTATTTTTCTTCTGTATCGAAAGGTAACGAACGAACGAAACCTTATTGCTATGCCTCTGCAGTATGTCTGTCACAGAGTTCTATCTCTTGAACGGAAATAGGTTGACACTTTGACACCTGAAACTCTCACAGAATCCTTGTTACTGTGAGTGCAGTCGCAATAAATAAAATAAAGAGGTCACCGCGAAGTGATTTTTTCGAATTCTTTCGTCAAGTATGTTTAATCAACTAACGCCTCTATATTCAGTCAGAAAGATGGTAGATGCGTAATTAATTTTATCAGACATGTGTCCGAACAGGATTCGAACTACCGACTGTAGGATTAAATCAAGGTAGCTACCGTTCGGCCAGTCCACCACCAATCTCACTCTCTTATTTTTAGAACACTGAATACTTTATAATACCCATCATTTAATCTCTAAACAGTTACATGCCTATCTTCTTAATGCCTCGTTACAAAGAACAGAAGCTTCAGAAGTAAGCACTTTAAATTTTAATATCTTCCAAGATGGTTATGAAGTCATTATAGTAACAAAACGAGTGTAATGTTTATCTTCCCACGGTGAGAGTTTATTAATGATCTGTTTTATTGTGGTCATAAAGTTCAAAATAGCCGAACGAGTTTTTGATTTGTTTAATATGCAAATACATTACTTCGATATAGGTACTACATATTTTTTGAGAATAATCTAATATGCATGCCTAGCAAAATTTTTGTAATTAACATTAAAAATTAACTTTGTGCTTTTTAGTGATTATTGCGATTTTCAACAGAAGGTCTATTATGAATATAATTTCGTTATTATTTATAAGTAGTCATAAATAATAACAAAATACGGGCATTTGACCGCGAATTCATTCGCTCTTAAAATTAAATTTGGTTCAGGGAGAAATATGACACTGTTATTAATACCTTTCATATCATCGTATGGATTCTTGTGTAGATCAGAATCCTGATCTATAATTATTTACTTGTTAATATAGGTAATAAATTCAGTACTTATTGTGTAGATATCGAATCGGTTTCACGTGTTTGCTTATTTTTTATCAGGAGCATCTACTGTTTCGAATTTTCAAGTTATTGATCAAATTAGTAATACTTTCGATTCAAAATCAGCAAACTTTGAAGTACAGTGAAACCTTAATATAACGTACCTCAATATAACGACTTCCTTGATTTAACAAATTCTTCGTAATCCCCTTGAATTTTCCATAAGAGTCAATGTAAAATATACCTTTACAGTGCATACATTTTTTGCGAACAACCTCTTTATTAAAAAATTTCAACTAGCAAAACTTACCTCTAATTAACGAATTTTGTCAACCAAAAACCTCTATATAATGTTTCCATCAATATATGGCACTTAATCCTTTTTTTTTAAGACCTCCGTGGCCGAGTGGTTTGAACGCCGCCGGGTTTCATGGTGTCGCCGACTCGAGAGGGTTCAAATCCCGGTGGGGGCAGATGTTTGTGTGATGAATACGAGCATTTGTACTCCAGTCATGGATGTTTAATATGTATTTCTATATAAATAAACTTATATATGTACAGTATATGTATTCTATCCGTTACCCTAGCATCCCATAATACAAGCCTTATATTACAGTGCTTAGTTTGGGGCTAGGCTAATTGGTGTGAGTGTTGGGAATATTTATTTATTTTTATTTTATTTTTATCTCTTTATAACAAATTTTAGACCAACCTAACCTCAATTTAACAATCCTCAGTTTAAATAATTACACGATATAACGAATATTTACTTGTTACCTTCTGAATTGTTATATCGAGGTTTCATTGTATTCAATATTTCCGCTGTTTTTATGGGTTTTCACTTCCAGAAACACTTCTGCCAATTTAAAGTTTAACTTAAAAAAATAATGCCAGTGTCAGCACTGTCTTCTTTTATAATCTGTGTCCATATAAAATATATTCAATGTCAAGATTAGCTTAAAATAATGTTTGAATAATACATAAAAAATAGCGAGCCTTACACTAGTCGCATATGATGTGTAACATAAAAAAATCTGCACTGGGCACAGTGCGAATTGGGCCATGAATCACCACGCGAGCCCAGTGTGGACTAGTGATATATATGTAAATATATTTAATTTCGTTCCAACCGAATATTCGATGACACTCAGGCATTTTATTTCAATCAACAGTAACTTTCTCCCTTTTCCGTTAGTAATCACAGAAAACAACATCAAAATCGAAAAACATTTGATATCTCACCTTAAAAAAACAGATATAAAACCTACTCCAAAAGAAATAAGCAATACTAACATTATATCCTAAAATCAAATCAAATAGCGCGCGCTTTCCCGACTTCCTGTCACACACTTTCGTCCCATTTCACAAAATCACTTCACACCCACTAATTGCAAGAAAGCGAGAGGAAAGATGTTACACATCTAAAATCATCTTGCAGCGGCTGCTATTACCTCGGCTGCGGATGCATACTGTATTTTCTTGTGACTGGTTTATATGGATGTATTTTCTTTTTTTTATAAAAGATTTGAGTTCTTTCTAGTTATATTTTCTTTAGATTTGAATACGTTTGGTTATTGCTTTAAGCTGAAACACGCAAGTCGCAAACTCAAATAATGCATACCTAATCTTGCTTTTAAGATCCCTGTATTATATGAATCGGTAAATGTATGAAATATATTCCGAAGCCGGCTGCACGCTGCACGTGCTGCCTTCATCTGCAGTCTGCAGCCGATATAGGAATAGCAACTTAATACATTTCATGTCCAGAGATTATGGTGGAATTAAGAAAATAATTTATTGTTTTCAATTAGTAAAACTAGGACATGCTTTGATCAATACAACTGACGAATACATTAAGATCCAATGAATGTGTTTCATCTGTTTTAATGGAGATAACGATATATCGCCGCATCCATTCAACGTGCCCTTGAATGTACGTCTAACGGGCGGAATACTTAAAAATAATACTGACTCAATGAATTTGGATCTTCATTCAACAGACTCATTGATCTTTGCTAGTGCATAAAATAATCAACTGCATGCATTGACGTGTAAAAACAATGTTTTGGAATTGTTTATGGGTAAAACTTGAAAGCGTTGCAACGATATTGATTTAAACTTTTATAGTCACTAACATTGTAGCTATTAGCGGGGTTGTTACCATGTACGTCGTTTTTTGTGTGTCCCAGATATTTTGAAACTTTTGAAGTAACTAAATCACTCGAAATATCGGGGAATCACAAAAAACATGGTAGCAATCTTGCTAATAACTAGAACGTTTTAACAATAAAAAAATATTTCTCACACTCGCACCAATTAGCCTAGCCCCAAAGTAAGCACTGTAAGGTTTTTGTTATGTGATGTTAGGGTAACGGATAAAATACATATACTGCTACATATATAAGTATAATTTATCTAGAAATACATGTAGCATATATACCGGGTTTCATGGCGTCGTTTACTCAGAGGTCCCGGGTTTGAATTCCGGTGGGGGAAAATGTTGTATGATCATCTTAGTCATGGATGTTCCATGACTAAGATACAAATGCTCGTATTCATCATACAACATTTTCCCCCACCGGGATTCAAACCCGGGACCTCTGAGTAAACGACGCCATGAAACCCGGTATATATGCTACACGGCCACGGAGGTCGTACAAAACAAAAAAAAATATTGTCTCTACATCTAACAACTACATTTTTATAAGACACTATTGGAGCAGACAGATGTTTTCGTGCTCGATAAAAATATTAAAAAAACATTAAAGGCAGCGCGGCGCCGCGCCGCCAGCTATCGATAAGAGTTTCAAGTTAAGTTTTTTCAAATTTTGCAATATTCTCCGTAACTTTCTTATTTTTTCCCTAATAATATTCTACAAAGTTTAGGAGAAACTTAAAAAAAAGATGGATGATGAAATCGGTAAAGTTGTGTACAAGTT